CCTGTTCTGGGTGACCACACACAAATACACCACATGATGACAACCCGTCAGTGCAAAAATCCCTGTTCTGGGTGACCACACACAGATACACCACATGATGACAACCCGTCAGTGCAAAAATCCCTGTTCTGGGTGACCACACACAGATACACCACATGATGACAACCCGTCAGTGCAAAAATCCCTTATACAAGCTGACAAGAACAGTGGGGAGAATATTTGTCTATAGACCAGAATGAGTCATCATCACTGACAAATTCCAGGAAATTTGTTTGCACTGAGAGGTAGAGATCTTGTTTTTTGAAATCAAATGGCGCTTTTCCACTGGCACCAAGAACCAAGCTGTGCCCAAGCTGAACCAAGAAGAGATGGTTTCCATTGAAAATTATGCGAGCTGTACCTGATGCGTAACCGGACTGAAATGGCCCTGCTTCCTAGCAAGGCCAAAAGCATGACTAAACTGAGCTGGTTGTGCTACCATCATCAGACTGGTTGAAATGCATGGAGATACCAATGATCTATGGTCATATTCATGGATTACCTGAAGGAAAAAGGGCATATTCTATATATTATTCATTAGTAGTAGTACTGCGATATATTGATGCATTCCCGATAACTTGGAACATGAAAATTTCCATCCTCCTACATTAAGTACTAACAGCTGAACAGAATGGATTCATAAGGCAAATTTATGCAAGCTAATGCTAATTCTGCTAAAACACAGCAATTCTCACAGACATGGTACTGGAAATCAGCACATAATCATGATGTACAACCATGTAAACAGTAAATATGCATCTTTATGGTTTTACATTATTGTTGCTCTCGAAACCCAGCAACGCCTTTACGGAGCCGACCCTTCTGCAATGGAAAATCAAAGCAAGCTGGAACAGCGCAGTAACGAGTCTCCGCGGTACAGGTCGGGTGCGGCCTGGTTCCTGTACGTCAGTGGAAACGCGTCAAAAGTGAGCTGTTCTTTCAAATCTGGAGCTGCTCCACTAGCCTTTAAAGTGAATGTCCTCAAGGGAAAGATGAAAGACACAATCGGTCAGGAAATGCCTGCTCATTCTCACAGCTGTTATTGAATGGACCACAGCTTCACCTTACCCCTGTCTTTAAAGCAAGTCAAGTATTAACAGGTTCACACAACACCTCTTTGAAGGACATGATTTGGTTTATTGACTGAATGTGACGGAACCCACCCTTTTCACTGTGGACAGGGTCCTGGGGGTGTTTCCAGTCGGCAGGCAGTGTGGAGTTGCATTCCACCCCAAACAGCCCCAGCCGTTCCCTCTCCATGTTCTTCACATTGCAGAACACTCGATTATTGGTGTTCTGCTTTGGAGACATACTGGCCAATCAGATACACCTGCTCAGATACACCACCTGGTTGTGGTACTGTTCAGATTTGATCAGTCATCAACATGATCCCTCAGGTATCCCGGTGTCCAACTGCTGTTGTCTAAGCAAAACTAACTCCTGTACATCCATCGGATTTCACCACAAATATGTATTGTAAGGTAATTCGACCAGATGACACCTAAGGTGGCCCATCTTAACATCTCCATTTTGGCTTCTGTTAGAAGTGCTATAATTAAGTTTACCACTTCAGAGTCCTGCCATGAGTGTAATCAAATTTCGCTTCAACTGATGCATAACATACCTGACCATGTCACATTGCCACATCTGTGATAAAATGTTTCAAGTAGTAATGAGAGAAACAAACTTTGGATCATACAGGTGGTGGAATTATCACTGAAAATCACAGCCTTAGCTGCCGCCTCATTGGGTAAAGAATTGGCTTAACTCAGGTGCTGAATGACAATACAAATTAAGTCCCACCTACCACAGGTATAAACCCCTCTTTTTCCCATCACTAGTTGTACAGTACTTGTGAGCTGCTAGTTTCTTGAATCTTAGGAATGATCTGCATGTAAACACTGAGATGAATGTATAAACTATTATAGCTCTTTCAAACACAAAACAGATGTCAGCCCCAGCTCCATTCTTTCATGCAGTTAAAAAAAGATCATGAGCCTGGCAGACACATGTGGGCTCAGTGATGACAGTGAGAGCGGGAGACACCTGCCTTGATGGACATGAGGGAGCGGTCCTGGTTGTTGGGGACCTGGGGCAGGGGTGGCCTGTTCTGGGACAGTGTATGGTAACTGGGGTTGGAGTAGAAGTGATGGTAGCCATGTGGGACGTCTAAGGAATAACAGGAGGAATACAGTTAGGGATCATTCCCCCCCCTGTTGTTTGTGACCGGCATTTGTGATCAGTTTCTCCGCAGCTGTTTGGGAATGCTGTTAGTGCAGGGTGCAGGGTGACCGATGAGACGATCCATCTCAGGGAGAACACTTTGAGCTAGGACGGGATTTGTAAACCACCTGTTCAATTAAAAGCTCCTAGATTTCACAAGCATTCAGTTCCTGTTGTGTCCCGATAAGTCAGTCTCCCATAATCATGCATGAATCAATAATGTTAATGTGAAACAGCTGGATGAGTCTTTCTATCAAGGAACGAACAAGTCAAACCACAAAAAGAACTGAACTATTTAGCTGAGCACAGAAGCCTTTCAGTTATAAAGCAGTTTGTAAAACCTGAAGTAGCTCAAAGTGTCCTCCCTGACATGGATTATCTGGTCACCCTACTGTAGTTGATGACCAGTTTCTCCCCAGCTGTTTGTGAACACCATCAGCTACCAGATTCTCTGCAGCCACTTGCGCTAACATATAGCTTCCGTCATAACACTGGTCAGCTTCAAAAATTAATTTTTGCTCATTGTAGACTTGCACTATGCATGCTGTGGCCTGTTCACCCAGCAGGAACACACCTGGCATGGTGCACTCCAGGCTGGCTGCATGGCTGGAGGAGAAGACCACGGCGGGCACGGTGCTCTGCTTGTCCTTGCGGCGGCGCCGGTAGAGCAGGAGAAGGGCGAGCAGCAAGGCGGCGAAGACCACCAGCGTGGCGATTCCGGCCACGGCACCCCACGAGTCCCGCTCCACCGGAGACATCACGCTCACTACCTGCCCTGCCGGGGGGGGCTTGCTGTTTGGGACTGACCGCCAGTCCTGTTACTTCTTGTGATTGTTTTACCAGCTTCAGAATGCACTGCTGTCAGGTGACTAAATGTGACTAAGTGTGATACCAAATCATATTCATGTAAACAACATTCAGATTAAATTTTGTGTAATCCTAGAAGACACCCATGCAGATACGGGATGAAATTCTCACTTCTGCGTGTGAATAGGTGAACTGATGTCTCTAAATGGCCCATGGTGTGTGAGTTTGTAAGTGTCTGCCCTGTGTTGAACTGGCATCCCATTTAATGAGTCCACTGCCCTGTGTTGAACTGGCATTACATTTAATGAGTCCTCTGCCCGGTGCCTTAGGGGTCCTGGAAGAGGTTCCAGGCTCACTGTCACCTTCCACTGCACTGTCTCTCAATCCAGTTCTTGTAGACCGACAGTTGGTTCTCATTTTAGCTCCCTCCGAGCTCCCTGCCAGACAGTCCACACTTTTGCTCCCTCCTTGCTCTCAGTAGGGGAGCAAAAACGTGAACCATCTGTGGTCTCCGAGGACTTGATTGTGAAACACTGCACTACCAGATAAGCTATATTGAAGATAAATGGATGAATGGATGGATTCATTCTTACAAAAAAGAGCAGTGTTACTTACCCTCTTTGCAGTTGGCTTCCAGCCCTGAGTCACACACACACATCCCGGTGCGGTGATCGCAGCTCGCGTTGGGCGGACATGAACAGGTGTGGGCACAGTTTGGACCAAACGTTCCTGGGGCGCACTCTGCAAGCAAACGAGTGCCCAGAGATGGCGTGATAAGAGATAAGATACCAAAAGTTAGCATTCTTTACTGTCACGGTACATACAGCAACAAAATTTCGTTTAGCGGCAGTCTTGCCAGTAATACAGCATAAACAATATACATAGACATTAAAGAACGACAATATAGACAAACACAATTCAGAAAAAAAGTATGAAACCAGAAATATGTATAGAAATTTAAGCGCAGTATCTGTATCACATGCCTGTACACCAACCGAGAGAATTTGGGATCGCTTTGCAAAAGAAAAAAAAACTCAGGAGACAAAGTTCAGCACCTGGATACTTACTGGACTGGCAGTATGGACCCGTGTAACCTACTGGGCACAGGCATGCGCCAGTCACATGACTGCAGGACCCTTCACATAGGCAGCGCAGGCTACAGCCCGAGCCGTAAGTCCCCTGGATGCAGCCTACAGATGCAGAGAAGAACCAGCCAGACTGCCTGTGACATCACAGTGTCATAGACACAAAGTAATCAGCCCCGTGAGCCTATTTCACAATGGCATGCTGTACGTGACGTTTGCTAGCAGTCTACTGAGGGTGTGGTTCACGGTCTCACTCTGTGGTACCCATGGGCATAACACTGTTTCGGTAAGACTAGGCCTGTCTCACTGTGGTCTAAACATATGAGTGTGGATGTGAGAGGGACAGTGACAGGACCCATCCTGATGGTGGCGCAATGGCACACTTCCATGCAGCGGTTTCAATAGCCCATTTTGAAGATGAGATTACATTTTCATTGCGTTCATTTAACGGACTCTTTTATCCAAAGCGACTTCCAACTGAGAAGGCAGTGTGTTCTGTTCCTGTTCCTGGTGACGGCATGCTATCCTTTGTTTTGGCTACCCCTGCTGGTGGCTTGTGTAATTGTTGTCTTCTCATATTTTCCAGATTGGTTTCATCTGTGTAGATTCCTCACCTGAAGCCTGTCTGTGTTTTGTTATAAAAGGAGTTCAGCCCGGTTTGAACAGGACGGGACGCGTGAGAGCAGCTCTGACTCCAGAGGTCTTTCTTATGAGTCCTGGCTACGCTAATTTAAGTGGTTTTAGTGCTTGACTGTGTAATAATGGATAGTGCGGCAATTTTTTCTGTGTCTCCTTTATGTTGTGGTTGGCTCTTGACTGTCCCTGGGGCAATTAGGAGTCAAGGTCGCTCCAGAGGCCCAAGAGAGTGACATCACTCTGCTGACCACATCATCTGAATCAGCAAGCTTCCGATTACTAGCACGTAATTCTAACCTGCAGAGCCACACGGTATCCCATGATGCCTCACTTTAGCCATAAGCTATAAACTGACCACATGGGTGCAGGATCTGTTTTGCTTAAGGCAATTAAAGGAAATTTTTACTAAAATAGAATTTTCCCAAAGTCAACAGTGACATTCAGGTCACCAATGTCACACTTCCAGGCCTGAGCTAATGTGTGATGGAAGGGTTACCTTGGTTACACAGGGGCCCGGTGTAGCCCGGGTCGCACTGGCACCGCCCGGTGACGTGGTGGCACGGGGTGGAGGAGTGGACACACAGGGGACACGCTGCACTGCACCGTGAGCCGTATAGACCTGGGCTGCAAGCTGGGAGGGAGGCAGGAAGCCAAGGAGAGGCACAGAGGCTGGGATCTTCACTAATTAATGCCCATAAAATTGTCAAAGCAATGGATTAGCCACGATATGAAAGAAAAAGGCCACACAGTAATGCTGAAGAAATGGATTTATGACAGGAAATCCTGGGAAGAGAAAATCTTAGGAATTTCCTTGAGCAGCAATCTGCCAATAACCAGTTATTATTATTTCATAACTATTATTATAAAAATGTAACAAAAGAGAAGTGAGAAATTTGAGAGAGCGCAGATTCTGTACTTACTTTGACTACAGTGTGGTCCCTGGTACCCGGGATTACACATGCAGCTCCCACTGTGTGGCAGACAGGTGGCGCTGTTTTGGCAGGAGCAGCTCTGGTTGCAGTGGCGCCCCCAGGATCCCGCTGGGCAGGGCTGGGCGCAGTGTTTTCCTGAAGGGGCAGGGTGAACAGTCAGCAGGGCCAGTGGGCTTAATGAGTCACGGCAAACGTCTGCAACAGCCGTAAGGTAACCGGGCTTAGAGGAGAGGAGCTCAGAGGACCTGCCCAGCCGGGGAGACACTGGCACTGGCCGGTGGACTGGTGGCAGCCGTCGGCATGCAGGCAATCACACTGCAGCAAACACCCGGGACCGTAGGCGCCTCTCTGCGTACACGGGCACAAAGGGAGACTGACATCATCACCATGCAAAACACACCATAGGTGTGTTCAGTCTCTGAGGCAGCTTTGTATGAAGTAAAAATTATGATTAAAAATTAGCGCCAGGTTTGATTACATTTTTAATTCCTAAAAGTAATACTTCTCAGCAATGCATTACAGACGGGTATTAATTATATAGTACTGTACAATTGCATGATGAGAAAATTAAATTTAAGTGCCTAAAATGTAAATTAATGGCAAGTATCCTGCTTTGTAAGAAATAGGATTTAAAGAGAGTATGTAAGCTTTGAGAAATTTCAGTTGAGTGATATTAAGGGCTTATGATGATAGATACCGGACATGGTTGGTCACACAGCGCCCCCTGCCACCCAGCAGTGCATGTGCAAGTGCCATTTATGGGATTGCATGATGCCCCATTTGCACACTGGCATGTTCCATTGCAGTTTGGACCCCAAGTCCCGCCCGAGCACGGGATGGTACAGTCCAAGCCTTTCCATCCTAGAAAGAAAATCGTGGTCAATCCATTTGAAAACTTACGGTATTTTTGATCTGTTGACAGTAAAGTTTAAAGCTGGCTGCGACTGAAACTGCAACAGAGCAGGTGCCAGATGGGGGCGCCAAAGCGCAGGGAATGTGGGGCCTCACCCTCTCTGCAGAGGCAAGTGCCGTCGATGGGGGAGCAGGCCAGGGCGTTTGCACAGGCACAGCTGAGGGAACAGTTCGTCCCGTAGGCGCCCGAAGCACACAGACTCTCGCAGTGGTCCCCCTGCGGCACACATGGCAGACTGGCTCACTCTCTGCACACCACATCTCAGCACGACAACAAAAGGCACAGCTTTCATCACTGAAATCCAGCATATCACTCCAGATGTTTCTCATGTGTGGTTCCCTGATGGTGGCATGACATCACATCCGGTCATCAAACTCCCTCTCCGCCTTCTAGAAACACCAACACCCATCTGTTCCAAGAATAACTAGCCTGATGTCACTCCGCGTTCACTGGATGTCCTTAATGCTGCACTGCCTGCTCATTGTAGAGTCCTATTGGGTTCTTGCTTTATTTGGAAGGTAGTGTGCAGCTCTGGCTCCAATACTGCTTATGCTTGTGCCTGGAAGCTCAGCCAAGCTGCACTTATGCCGACTTGACAGCTGTATGTTTGTATGTTTTCCTCACTCCTATGTCGCTCTGGACAAAAGCAGCGGCTAAATAAAAATGAATGTAAATGTAAAAATATCCCGGCCAAAGTCCATTGCTGAATTCCAGTTTCTCTTCCACAGAAGGGTCACGGTCATTGTCACGGTCATTGTCACGGCGAGAGTCACTTACAGTGTAGCCTGGCGCACACCAGCAGCGCCCGCTGACGCTGTCACAGGTACCCCCGTTCAGGCACAGGCAGGTTTCCTGGCAACCGTGGCCGTAGTAACCGTGCGGGCACGTCTCGTTGCAGAAGAGCCCGGCCCAGCCGGGGTAGCATGTGCACTCGCCCTTCATGGGGTGACAGCTGCCAACGAGAGATGGGGGAACCACAGCTTTTGGACCAAAGGCGGCATATTCCAATCATCACCCCTTGTGTGACTGATTAGTTAGGCCCCCAGGGGTCTGAGAAAGGGGCCCCTTCGACAACCTTTGCTGTTGCCACCCAAGCTCCCTTAACTCCCCCTCGACAACTTCTACCGCCCCCAGCTGACAAAAATTCCTTTGCAGAACACCAGTAGGGGGGGCAACTGAGAGCTGAAATAGCCCAAAGGCCTCTGACCATGTCAATGCACCTCTGCATAAATCCAGGCAATTTTAATAAATATTAAAACAGCATTTCCCAATCAGCTCCTTCCCACAGCTGAGGGGGAGCGAAAATGTGGGCAGTCTGTGGGTCCCTAAGGAGTGGGATGGAAAACATTATAAAAGATGAGTAATGAAACAAAATCCGCTGACATCAGCCACGCCGGGGCTGCCCACCTGAGCGTGTTTCCGTGGTGACACTGGCAGCGGTGCTCGCAGTGCAGGCCGTACATCCCCTCCGCACACATCCTGTCCTGGCACTGCGGACCCCGGAAGCCCGGCTCGCACAGGCAGCCCCCGTCCACGTGGTAGCAGCGTGCCCCGTTGGCACAGTCGCAGGTGCCCTGGCAGCCTGGGCCGTACGTGCCCACCGGGCATTCCTCGTGGCATCTGAGGGCGGGCAAATTTCACCGTTACCCCGTGACACCACAGGCAGGGGTCACTCAGTGAGACTTTCATGCAGAACAGCTGACTTGAACTGGCTGAAATTACCTGCCGAATAATTAAAATACAGAAACATATATTAGCTGGTTATATCAAAACAGGAAGGAGTTCCTGTCCAAGAATCTGTCTGATGCCACACCCACTGCAGCCAGCAGGGGTCAGTACCTGTCTCCAGTGAAGCCGGGGGTGCATTGACAGTGTCCGCTCTCGGGGTCACAATGCCCTGTGTTGTGACACACACACTCATGGATGCAGTTGACCCCAAATCTGCCCTGGGGACAGCGCTCGGTGCACATGGGCCCCTGGGGGGTCAGAATTAGACAGAGAGAGGAAAGGAATGAGGCAGGATAGTCACTGTGGGCCCTTCAGATCGGAGGCCCTTAGTGCTTTATGTGTCACTCAAGGTTGTAACTTTGGATTGAACATTGGGGGGGGGGGGGTTGAGGTCCCCACACACTGATCATAACAATATAATTTTTTTTTGGGGGGGGCGAGGGGTAGTATTGGCTGGTTCTGATTATTGAGGTGGTTACAACCCCCCTAACCCCCCCATAATTTACACCCATGGAAACTGGGAGGTTTTATGTAATAAAGACAATACAAAACAATTCATTTATCTGACAGCTTCCTCCAAAGCAAGTCACAGCTTACATTGGTTACCAGGGATTAGACCCACAAGCTTTGCATTGCAAGCACAACGCTGTATCTTTTAAGCTATAGGAATGACAGACTACCCTCTGTTTCTAATGGGTGTGGTCAGCAGGTGAATGAAATGATTCAAACACGCTGTACTAGTAGCTGTTTGACAACCAAGAGAAATTGACTAGCACTGCAAAATGTTCCCCCTCCCTGGATGGGCATACCGTCCAGCCTGGCAGGCAGGCACAGATCCCTGCCCCCTGGCAATAGCCCCCATTCTGGCAGGGGCATCGTTGATGGCAATTCTCACAGGACTTCTCACACCTGAGGAAGGGGGACAGTTCAGATAAATCATTAAATAGCACAAAGTCTGATATAAAATAGGGACCCTCCCACCCCGGTTGGTGAAATCTATCTAGGTTAGTCTTCGGTGACCCACAGACAGTCCACATTTTTGCTCCCTCCCAGCTCCCGGTGTGTCTAGGGAGCAAAAACGTGGACTGTCTGTAGGTCCCTGTGGACCGAGTTGTGAAACACTGCCCTTAGGGGGGGCCTGTCAGTAAGGTTGGGGGGCCCCACTGAAATTCATTTCTGGCTATGGGCCTGTTCATAGAAACTGATATGGCGACTCACTAATGTAAAGTGAAAGGCATTTAGCATACCGTGTTTAGCCAAAACATTTATTTTATATGGCAGCAACTTTCAGTTGCAATCAGTGTTTGAACTTGGATGTTAGAGATGCTGCCGGTTCCATATCAGTGTTACTGGCTTTGGCATATAAATCCATAAAACATGGGCTCGCATTTCTGCAGCTTGATGTAACGTCAAGTTTTTGGGAGAATACACTGTGAAATGTGGTTTAAATCTCAAGCCACAGTTCTTTTTTTTTATTTTGTTAAGTGACTCTAGAGATCCAACAGTGTCGTAAGCTTTAAAACTTTGTATGGGCTTACATTTCTAATAAGGGCGGAAAAGTGCAACAAATGCTAGCAATCTAAATTTCTACAATCCTCTAAAAAGAGAAACACAGCAGAATAATTGCACAAAGATTTCCTGGCTATTTCATTGTGGTACATTCAAGAAGGGCAAACACATGGATTAACAATTGCTGTGTTTTATGTCTTGGCAATTATGCGGCGCATTTTAAAATGCAGAGGTGCAGTACACACAAGCATGCAGCATTCATCTCATTATTTAAACAGTCAGTCCAGATTCATTGCATTTAAATGATAAGCAACATTCTAGAAAACCAAATAAACAGACTTACAGGGTCCCAGTGAAACCCTCCTTGCAATTGCACCCCCCCGTCTCTTTGTCACATGACCCTCCAATTCCGCACAGGCACTTCTGCAGACAGTCTTTTCCAAATTTCCCCGGAGGACAGGGGTCCTCACAGAGTCGGCCAGTGTATCCGTGGCGACACTGGCAGGAGCCGGAGAGGGGATCACACTGTCCCCCATTCTCACACGCGCAGAAATGGCTGCAGTCATCACCCCAGTGTTTCTCATCACAGTCTAGAAGAGAAACAGACCATCACACACATGACTTTGGATTAATTTGAAGAGAAGCGTGGAGGATCCGGGGTGGATGCCTGCAGCTGCATAACAAGGCCTGTTGTTGAAGACGAGCTTTGATTACTTCATAGCGCCTCACTGAAGCCCCCGATACTGATGAACATACAGAAACACATGGCATTTGACATCGATGATGACATAACCGCAATGCACTATGTCTAATTTGGCATTAACTTTTACATATAGTGTTACACAGTGAGATACATTTGTGACATGCAGATTTGCATGGAGCTGAGAAAGATAAATGGGGTTGAAATCAGGAATTCTACTGATGTAATGCTCAGGGAGTGCGATTCACATGCAGGGATTAGATTTCGTTCGCGTCGGTGTGAAGGGAACCATCTGATGAGGCTTTGATGTCGTGCGAGGCGAGCTATGTCTCCCGCCAAATCTCACGCCATTCATATGTTTGTCAGATGAAACGAAAGCTGTAATATGAAATACAAATGCGAAACACCCAAAATTAACAAAAAAAAATTAAATAGTGAGCTCTATAACCAACATGTAAAGCACCTAAAATTTCGGAAGAAATCTGTAGCAGCTGTTTTCACTTTTTGTCCATGAGACCTCTTTGGCTTTTGTCCCAGATATGCAAAGAGTGGGAGTTTGATTAAATCCTAACCGGAACCTTTTTTTTCATCACCTGGTTAATTGTGTCGGATTATGTCCAACACGTCAATTATAACAAATATTTCCCTACCAATGACAAACATAAGCGTTTGCATTAGATTTACCAAGGAAACTAAAGATATATTATCTTAGTTACAAATTTATTGCTTTGCAAGTCAACATAGAAGATTTATTTTGAATTCACTTATTGTTTTCTATGCCTGCCAATTCTCAGGCTTTTTTTTCTATACATGTGTACTTCGTCAGGATCACTCAGCCAGTAATCCAATCAAGTGTAAGTTTCTTGGTGTATGCTGTCACGTTACTTCTGTCGTCCTTGATTGCATGTCATTGCTTTGTGATTAGTTTATTGAACTCGCTCCAATGCATGCTTTTATTGTTAAGTTAATCATGAAAATCGGCATATAGGGAAATGTTCAAGAACGTGGGAAAATTCCATGCATTCTCCCAGTGCACCATGGAGCTGGGTGCAGTGCCCCCCCCCCTTTTGTCACCTCAGCCCCTCCCTAGCACACAGCTTAAT